TTTTATAATTGTATCAAACAAAATTCTTCACCTAAAAGTTTCTTTTCACTTACCGTACCTTACAGTATATTATGAAAGTCCAGCCAGATCTGCACCCCCCCCCCCCCGGTTGTTCCATAATTATATGTGCCGTGACTTGTATATGCTATTGTTTGTTGAAATGATTTTCAAATATTCATAGTATTGTTTATATTTATTATTATTATTATTATTATTATATTTTAGTTCATAACTGATCGAAATCTCACTTTCTTTGCAGGTTTGGTTTCAAAATCGCAGAGCAAAGTGGAGGAAAAAGGAAAACACAAAAAAGGGCCCAGGTAGGCCAGCTCACAATGCACATCCTACGACATGTAGTGGTGATCCAATCCCGCCCGAAGAACTAAAACACCGCGAGCAACAGAAACTGGAAAAGAAACGTCAGAAGCAAGAAGAACGTGCGCGAAAAGCATCTCTTAGACAAAATCTGAAGAAAGGCTTGAAACTAGTAGGAACGGATGTTCATGACGCCCCGTCGGAAGCCTCGAACGATACGGAACGTTCAAATGCATATGAAAACGCAAATATGACGTCGCCGATACCGGTAGTAAATTGTCAAGAAGGAGAACCCCTTGAACAGAAGTCGTCCAAATTAGAAGAAACAAAACAAATTGAGAACAATGAGTCAGAGTTAAGGAGGTCGCCAACATTGAAGAGCGCACGCCCGAGTCTACTATCGCCGACGGGCAGAGTTGACCAGCGACACGAAAAACGAAAACTCTTTAGCATCGATAGAATACTAGCAACGAATCATGGCGACAAATTGCCTCCTACGAGTGGAGCCCCTAAGTTTAGGCCGAATTTGTTTTTCCCAGTGCCTGCGTCCCTGCTTCACGGGTACGCATGCAACCCTGGACTCTTGCCCTATGAGGGACTTCTTCAGACCTCGACGTTTCTGAACTCTTTACCTCTTCCTTTCGGGGAGAACCGGAAGACAATGAGTGTAGAGGTGCTAAGAAGGAAAGCAGAACAACACAGGGCAGCTATTGCCAATCATAAAATGGAATCCGATTGAATGTCACGTTGGTTTGGAACAATGAGACATCATCAAAACAAACGTGTTCATTTATAAACAAAAATCGACCGTCGGGACAGAAAGAGCTATTATTATGATTATCAAAATCATCAACATAAAAACATGAGTTTTTAAGAACCAAGTGACGACTTCCGTGTGAAAGGTTACAATTCTGAAGGATGTAGATTGTAGATGTATGCGGAATATATTGTAATAAGGTTTATGTTGTATTTTATTTGTATATTTTATTAGTTGTTGATATTGATGTTTATTTAATTATCTTGTAATTATACTGTACAATCTCATTCCAGCTTTGTTTCACTGATACGTTTTATATATCAGAAAATATAAATAGATAAACTTTCAGTAACTATAGAATTCGTATTGGCATAATAATATCATACTTCGGATATAGCCCACAAATACATTTTTTGTCGCTGTTCTATATTTTATTTTCCCACCCTTTAATAAGTGTTTATTCTTATATTGAAGAAAAAAATATCAACTGTATGTATACAGATAGAGAATAACTTATGTTGCAATATATGCTTATCATTAAATTATGGTAGAAGATTTGTTATTATATTTATAATGTTACAGAATGTACGTGTGATATGTTTAATAATGTAAACAATAATGAAAACCTGGATATTCAAACTAAATCTGCTACGAGGGTATTTATTAAACTACAGGTCACCTTCCGATTAAAGACCACATTTTGGACCGGAGTTCCCATGGCCTTTAACAGCCTTGGTCTCTATTTAGAATAATAAAGATAAAATACATTTCTTAATTTGGGACCACCGGAAAGTGGTCTCTTTAAATGGAGGTGGTCTTTAATTAGAGAGAGAGACCTGTTTTTTAAAACGTTAACGTCCTTTAAAAAAACTTAATATAATAGGCATACTTTCCAGAAAAAAAAAGATGTATTTATTTCAATTTGATAGTTTATTTTCTTTAAGAGAGCTTGATTGTCTTATTACGTCAATATATTTGTTTGTCGTCAAAGAACGTGTTATATAATAACAAAATCATTTCCAAATCAAATATAATTTTACGCATGCACAGAACTTCGCATGGAAATTAACTAGTTGCAGGGATTTGCTATGTAAAGTTAAGCCAATCATTTGGTTCGTACGTTACTTGTCTGGAGTAGAAATTAGCCAATCGCTTGGACTGTACGTGCCAGTAAATCTGAATCTGATTGTTTGAAGAACCTAGTTAGCAATCAATCGGTAGCCAAGACAAGACATACAGTCACAGCGTATACTAATGTAGGATTCGTTTATTATAAAATCTTGTTTTCAATCACATTTTCCTGAAACTAGATCTTGCTTTAGATATGATTGAGCAAAATATTATCTGCATTTTTTGGATTTAATATATTAACTTATTTCTATTAAACTCGTTTCAAAGTTAATTCCATAAATTAAAATGTATAATTTTGATGTAAACAATCAATTTATATTAAAACGTGTAAAGACTGGATATTAATCGCTGGTATTACAACATAATTGTATTTGAATTTGTAAATAATGTTAAGTAATTTAAGTGATATTAAATGTTGTGTTTCGAATTTAAATAAAAAACATTTCAAATGAATTTTCAATTTTTTGGGTTTGTTTTAACGTGCACAGCATTAATAATTCTCTATACAGTGTAAGACAAAACAGACCTCTCTTGTTTATTCATTTTTTCAGTATAATTTATTTCACAAATAGGGTACAATAATTCAAATATACACTCACAACATATTTGGTGACATCTCAATGCGCTTTAAACAATTTAAAAATGTATAATTTTAACTAAAGTACATTAATGTATTCACTAATCAAACAACCATTCCTAATTTAACACAATTTCACAAGTTTAGAATATCTTAAAAATAATAAAAGTACGGTACAATTTCCAATTTAAAAGAAATTTCACTAGTGAATACAATTTTAATTTATTTTATTATTTACTTTTAATTTAATTTATTTATTTTTATTTATTTATTTTTTTAAATTTCTTTGTCAGTAAAATACAAATCAATCAAGCAATAAAATGTATAATTAAACTAGTTCTCAATAGGCCTACTGTCAATTTATAAAATTCATTTAACATCAATAAAATACACCATATCACTCAATCGATAGCTTAGTGTAAATATATATATAACGTAGGGAAGAAAAATAAATAAGAATATGTTTCAGTACAAGTGGAAATACGCAAACAAGAAGGGCTTATAATCATTATCGAGGTGCGAAAATGGTCCACTGAGACTGTTGTATATAATTTTCGTTTGTCTCCATTTCTTTATATACAGAAATGTAGGCGGCAGGGGGGTGGACCATACGGTTAAAGTACGTATTATATTTGCTTGATAGCTTGTGGATAATAATAGTTGTTATAATTATATCTTGACAAGAATTGATAATGTCTAACCTGTCGACTATTTTTTTCCAGTTTTAGCTTACCTTAATTGAAAATTGTGATTTTTTTTTAAGCGAATGATTGTGATTCTTGGCAGCGAGGGGCTCCAAAAGTGTTGCACGTAGGCACGTGCCACCATCCCCCCACCACCCATTGTTTCGCCACTACAAAATTCGGTACATACAATGCCATGTGTTCTCATTCTTATCTTGTTCGACGTTTGCTGATATGACCATAATAGCAGGCCCTAGAAAGGACTCGCTCTGGTCCTCGCCGAGGCAAGTAACAATGCTGATGCAAGTATTCCTTATTTGTGGTAGTGGTAGAATTGGCGTTACACAGGGCCTCGACGAGTACGCTTCTACCCTGACCCCATACTAATAAGAAAACTATAAAACAAATACATGAACCCCACTCCAACCCCCCCTCCCCGTTTAAAATATAAAATTCTAAATCCACCCCTTTAGCTTTCGCTAGGCAGGTACGGGTTAGATTTACCATTTATTCAATATATTTGTGTTTCAGGTTTTTATTGTTTTTTTTTTTCAAATTGATTAATTATAAGTCTTGTTTTCTTCATTAAATAATTTTAGTGATCTAATTGTAATAATGAGCTTAAAATAATGATAATACTTTTAAAGTAAACAAAACACAGTTCTATTTGCTCTTCTGCCCTTCTTGAAACACCTGTGTTTACTACCGCATTGTGCATTAGCAAACTGGTATTTCGCTTCGTTTGCATCATGTTCCCACACGTTTGCCATACTTGAAAGGATTCTATATTTTGTATCGAGAATTTATGTTGAATGTTTGTTGAAATCGCTGGAACAATAGTCAAGACGTACATCGATATCTTCTAAAAGGTAAGATTTTTCGTATAACCAACATTATTAATCTTATCTGCATAACAAAATTGGTTCTTCGATTGGTTCCGAAGTACTGTAAATAATCAAAAACGTTTCCTGAAAACCATTCCAATCCATAGTAACAATTACAAATTCAAAGAATACTACCGTATATAAAATGCATGTAAATATCATCCAATACCAAGTAGGTCTAGGCCAATTCAACATTTGAATAGGCCCTCTATTACAACATAAAAATCATATACTTTAAATAACAATAAACACAGCCAATTCGGATTCAGAAGTCCAGGGTTGCTATAATAATGCGCTTGTGAAGTCCAAGAAAGGAGCTCCTGTCGATGGTCAAGAGGTGATTCATTGGAGCAAAAGCTTTCTAGCATGTAAAAATGGTGATTTTCATCAATAATTGTTGAGTTTTTGAAGAATAGGACGGGGTGGAATTGTGATGCCAAATAAATATTATTATTATTATTATTATTATTATTTTAATAATATACCGGTAGTAATAGATTTAAGAACTACCGTGAAACCTCGAATAGAAGCCTAATGGGCTTAATCTCGAGAAGGAGTCCATCTCGAATTGAATACCCTCTCTTTAGTTTGTAAAAGTAGCCTAGAAAAGAAGTCCATCTCAAAAAGAAGCCCATAGGCTTTCAAGATAGCATGGGCTTCTTTTCGAGATAGTACAGTACATACACTGTACATGAATTTCAAAGAAACAAGACAAATTTAAAAAAAACACTTAGTTTATACAGTAGTTTAGGTGATTTAATGCCGGTTAATATGCTGTATGATACAGATTGATGTTACAGTTTTACATTTATTGTTTTTTATTATAGTAATTGCCAAAATTGACAGCATTCATTATGAAAAGAAGCCCCCTCTTATTTTGCAAAAGTAGCCTCGAAAAGAAGCCTATCTCGAAAAGAAGTACTTTTGATAAGAACCCATCCAAAGGTCTCAAAAAAAGAAGCCCATGACTTCTATTCTAGGTTTTACGGTATTGTAGTAGAAAATCTGAGAAAAATAAATTATATCAATATTTGCCTCAAGTTATTTGTCCCTTTTAACTCTACAACAAATCCCCAGTACTGATATGGATACAGTATAATTAAATAACTATAACAAATGTGTTTTAGTCATATCAACAAGCTAACCAACGTGTAAATATGTGAAACTTAACACCGAAGAATTATTTCAGACACGCGAATGATTATCTTTTGCATTTCCTATGTTTTTTTCTAGTTATTTGAAGAAATGCCTTCTGGATTTATTTGGTACGCCTATATCTGACCTTATTGAACGTATTAATGACAGCTTGGTGCGTCGGTCAATTGTAGTTTGGTGTTTACATTTCAATTTCTATTCTTACCAGATTAACTCAAGTAGGATAATTGAAAATGCGAAATAAATTCCCCTCCGCTGTGTTTCTTTCTCACAATACATCTTGAAAACCGTTTCCTTTTCATGCTTTCTGTCACCACTGTGATAGACTCAAAGAATCTATTTGCTGCCTGGCTAACCCAACGTTAATACAAACATGTCAACATCGCCGAAATCAGAGTCGCATATAATTGATTAATTCAATCTAAGTGGAAAAAAAAGAAACACGAAATTATATGATTGATATGTTACACTCAGTTGACGATTTTTGATTTGTTTAGACAGTGCCAATGTCGGAGCTAATTCCGCGGAAATTTTTTCTAGAAATTTGCAAGCACGCAGCGTTGCTGAGTGGCTCTAGAAGTGAAGTCCTATTTCGTTTGTTGAAAGGCTAACGTTAGGCCTAGCGTGAATAATCGTCAGCAGCCGATCACGTTCGTATCTGATAAACTGATTAAGATTGTGATTCAAATTCACAGACTTTAAAGAAATTAATGAAATGAAATGAATCGCTGTTAATTTTCTTCCAAGCCAACTATCATGGAGCTAATCATAGGCATGTTTGTTTTCCCTAAGTATCAACAACAATTTAACTTTACCTTGAATTTACACTAGGTAACTTGGATTATTATAGTAATAGGAATACTGTATATACATTTAATTATATATATATATATATATATATATATATAAATATATATTT